TTGATAAAGCTTATAGTTAGGGCTGGCTCAGGTGAGTCCTGAACCATCCCTTAGTTATGCTGCTATAGGCCTAGACTGCCGGGGGATTTCCCATGATGCACTGAGCTCCTCTCTCCTCTACTTTCTCTCCCTCTGTATGCAACCTCATCCCATTATTGCATGTTACTAACACAACTTCTCCCCTTTCTGGTAGTCTTGTGCTTTCTCGTCCCTCTCCTCTCTCCTCCTATCACTTCCTGCAGGTTTTCTGGCTCTGGAGCTGTGGAGTCTGGATCTGTGGTTGCGGGTCACCTGCTGCCCCCGTGTTCCTGCTCGACACCCTCTGCTGCAACGACTATTGTTGCTAGTCTTATTGTTATTATTGTTATTATAATCATTAACATTATGATTGTTACCATTAACACTATTATAAATATCTGTACCATTTTTCATTTAGTCTATAGCAACATCACCTTCACTGTCTGTACCTCTGTGTGTATATTGTGTAGGCTGCCTCCCTCCCCTCTCTCTCTCCTTACATCCCTCTTTTTCTCTCTATTCCTCTCCTGCGCTCTCTCTCTCTCTCTCTCTCTCCCCCTCTCTCTCTCCTTCACCCCCAACCGGTCGAGGCAGATGGCCGCCCACCCTGAGCCATGGTTCTGCTCGAGGTTTCTGCCTCTTAAAAGGAAGTTTTTCCTTGCCTCTGTCGCCTAGTGCTTGCTCTTGGTGGGAACTGTTGGGCTTCTGTAAATAGCATCAAAGAGTACGGTCTAGACCTGCTCTTTTATGAAAAGCGCTGTGAGATAACTGTTGTTGTGATTTGGCGCTATATAAATAAAATTGAATTGAATTGAACTGAATCAAATTCAAGTCACTAATGCTGCATACAGAGTGACCACTGGGTCTACCTAAACTCTATAATACAAGTTTACGTTCCTTCTTGGCCACTGCGCTCCTCCAACGAACGCCGCCAGGCTCTGCCATCCCTACACACAAAGCAATCTCAGTCCCTGTTCTCATCTGTGACACGATGGTGGAACGAGCTACCACATGCCTTCAGAGCAGGGGCGTCCCTCTCTAAATTCAAGAAGCTCTTGAAAACTCATGTCTTCCGAGAACACTTTCTCTTATAACACCTCTAACCCTTAACCTCTAACATGCACTTCCTATGCCCTTCTTCTTCTATCCCCCTTATAATTCTCTTATATTGATTGCACTGTTATTGTTAACTCTTACTTCTTTCCCTAGGTATTTACCCCCATGATGCCATACATACTATTAGCTCTTACTAGTATTTATGCTGCCCTTACTTGTATGTATTGTTAGTTGTAGATCGTGTATTGTATTGATGCTTGTATGTAGCTCCTCAAATGTAAGTCGCTTTAGATAAAAGCATCTGCCAAATGAGAAAATGTAAATGTAAATGTATCCTACCAATCAAACTGTTCTGGACTGCAAAACAAAATCTCTCTTCCTGAGATTTTGAAGACACTCATAATCCCAAACAGATGTTGACCGCTCTGAATTAGAACACAACATAACAAAATTTTTCTTAATTGTTTATTTCAGAAGCACAAAGTCTGATCCAAGTTTTCAGAACCAGATAAAACTTTTATTCCATCATGTGAATACATAATGTAGCTTCAATGTGGATGTGGAAAAACCCCATAAAGACAGCATGGAATTCCTCAAACCATAGAAGCAAAAAACACATTTACATGCCTTATGCTTTGCATATGGTATATACTATAATAGATGAGCAAACAAATAAATAAAGAAGAAAACTTGATGAGAATCTTGAGATGAGATGCTACACTTGCATTTTGTTATATATCTTATTATGTATCTGATGGACTGAGAATTGTGCATATTACACATCAAAGGCATATATATTATTGGAACTTTATAATACAATCAGAGGGCTTATACAGAAAATATGTTAGATATATGGCAGTGTGTAGAACAGCAAACAACACTACTGATAGACTACATGTATCTAAACAGCTAATAACACATTTCCTAATTTTTTTCTTGAACTAAGTGTGAATACAGACTACAGAAGTGTAAAGATCCACTTGAGATTCTAAAATTCATCCTCAGCACTGCACCATGCAAATTTTTTTTCTTTATCTAATTTTATCATTTTTGCTTATAACGTTGCTTTGTAGTTTAAAGGGAACAACAAACAGCATCTCGTTTTACAACACTGTTGTAACATGACAAATACGTTACCTTGTATGTTAAATTAGCGTACACTCAGCGGTGGGTAGAGTAGCCCAAAACTGTACTCAAAAGTACAAATGGTCATCAAAATTACTATTTGAGTAAGAGTACAAAAGTATTTACTAAAAAATTACTTGAGTAGTGAGTAACTTAAGAAAACTAAACAATTTGTATTTTTCCCCAAGTTTTTTATTTGATGAGGATGTGACAATAATTATTTCAGATGTCTTCCTCAGGTAAAGGTAAAGAAGTGAACACACACTTGTATTTATTTGTGATGAAATGACAAGTCATCATCTCCTGATTAGACAACCTGACACATTTACACCAGGACAATATTCTCAGTGCGTATCCATCAAGTGTGCTTACAAAGTATTGCATTAATATTATAGTCTGTTAGTAATCCAATAAGTAAAGACTGTTTAAAAATATAAATTATTTTATTGCTATCCCCAATATTAAATTATGATTTGGCAAACAAATCAAATTACTCAATAATGCTGTGATGTTTCATAATTTATTGCCTATTAAAAACAGGTGTGTTCACTTCTTCAAGTTTACCTGAGGAAGATCCAGGGGCTTAGGTATAGACAGTGCAGACAGTGCAGCTGCACTGGGGCCCGCACTGTACTGTGGGCCCATAATGGGAGCAGCCCGCTGAGTCATGAGCTGGACTTTGTCATTTAAATGGTAAAAACATCTCTTGGTCTCATCTATCAACAGTAAACACCCAATACCCATCTAACTTTAGTGACCATGAAGATCAAGTAGTATATATACACTCATATGTGCATTTCCCCCTTTGCCGTGGTGTCTGACACCACAGATTTTCTGCAGCAAGCAGTAGGCTATGAGGTATACAGTGGAAAAGAATTGATTCCACAGAATCAGCAGAATACATTTTTTTCTTATTTTCTTTGCTATTTGTGTCACATAACTCACATATGCAGTGATGATTGCTGGGTAATATGTACTATATGGCTGCCCAATCTTAAGAACTATTTGATCATGTGACAAGAAGACAAGACTCCAGAACATGAAATAAGGGTAGTTTTTTTTGTGTGCATAATTTCATCTTTCATCATCTGGCTACACCAGCATGACTAGTTAAATGCAGACTGCTTGTAAACTGTTAGCTTGAATATTTACATTAAGGCAGAAAGCAGGAAGAGTTTTTAAGAGTTTTTAAACTGTGTGTAGCTATTTATTAATAAACATATTAGCATTAACACAACAGACACTGATCTCTGTCAGCTCAGAGTCAGCACAGGGCGTCAAATACCGATGCTTTGAGAAAGTCTGACAAAGTATTGGTATGGGATGCCCTGGGATGAGACAGCGCTAGCTGCACGTGCACAAGTGGATGCATGTAGTAAGGATAAAAAATTAAGAGTATAAGTATGATACATTAAAACTACTCTGACAACAACAATTTACTCAAAAAAGTTACTTGGGTACATGTAACGGTGTAAATCTAACTTATACCCACCTCTGCTTACACTTAATCATGTTTTTAAACTTTAGCACTACTCGTCTGCTGCATAGATCCATTTTAAAAAGATACAAACTAAAAACAGACTGGCCACTGTGACATAGACAAAGAAAAAGACTTTGTTGATTATTTTAGCCACTCTGGTCCAGTAGCCAGGTTTCCCTTCTTCCTTCCTGCTGTTGAGAAGCACAGTCAGCGTTTTCTCCACCTGCCTAAGGTCATCTGAGAGCTTCTCCAAGGCATGGAAGTCCTCCATTAGTTTGCTGCTGCTGCCCTGCAGAAGTGGTTTAGTAAACGGGTTATTAAAGAAATTATGAAACACAAGATAGCAAGCTGCTATATTTGACATTCTGGTTTTTGTGTCTGTTGTGATGAGACTAAGGCCCCATCTACACTCCTCCGTTTTAGTTTAGAAACGGAGAATTACAACAAATATGATCTCCGTCCACTCTAGCGTTTTAGCTGCATATCAGAGTTAATCTCCGTCTACATTAAAATGACTGAAAACGCACATCTAGTGGCCGTTCACGTACACTGGGCATGTGCGTGCCGGTGTAAACATGAAGCAGATGATCTCTGTCTTCCGTAGTTACAGATTTGGTCGAAAAGAATAAAGTAATGCAGACGAAGAACCACACCAGATTTTTTTTTTGCATGAATCAATTACGAGCAGTGACTACTGAATGTAACACAGGAGTTAATAAGCGGCGGCAAACAGACTGGGAGTCGTCGTAAAGTAAATACGGTTACATACACAGTACAATTGTAAGCATTAAGTGTTATTTGCACGGTACAAAATATTTTAATAAAAATACCAAGTCAAAAACCGTCAGTAGCATTGTGTTTCTGCTTTGTGTGTGAGCGTCTGTGTCATCGCTTCTAAAGTCCTCTGTTTTTGCCTGTCTTCACTAAAATGCCCTCCAGAAATGCGGGGTTGGCAGCGTTTCCAAACTTCTCCGTTTTAGGTCTTCATTTGCGCCGTTTTAGTCCGGATGGGATGTGCAAACGTAGCAAAAGGTCTCCGTTTTAAAACCAAAACGTAGTAGTGTGGATGGGGCCTAAAAGGTTTGGTTCATCCAAATAACAAATTAACATATTTTCTCACTTAACCATTGTGGTATCATGTCATGCAAACAGTTTTTGGGTTAGTCTTAAGATTTAAGTGCATGGGGAAACTTTAGAAATTTAACAGCAATGTCTTCTTCCAGAAACAGAATCCATGTCTTTAATGCAAAGAGCCTACTGTCAAACGTTTTATAGACTTTTCCATTTTTGTTTGGTATTTCATTTAGGTGAACCGACCATATTAATTAATTCTAACCTCTTTGGCCACTGACAGCAGTCCAGATGGAGTTTCACCAGTAGACACATCACAGACAGACACACAGTGAGTCCATTTCCTCTCATCTGAAAAGAAAAGTTTCGCACAAAGATGGTTGAAGCATATTCAAATAGTGTACACCATTATAGCAGGTAAATAAAATAGTAACAGTAGTAAACTGAACAACACGTAGAAATCTATGCTTAATCTCACCTCTACAACAATTGTGGAAGGTGACTTTGCCTCGTTTGTCCCCACAGTCCTCACTCAGGCTTTGGTCTTTGTTTGCCTCGTCTTGGGATGCAGAGTCTTTCTCCATCAGATGCATCACCAAAATCGTCTCCAGGAGGCTGAGCATCATCAATGCAAAACTCCCAATACAGTAGGTTGCTAAAGGGAGGAGGCAGCATAATTAATGTGGACAAATATCTACACACTGAGTCAGCATGTGCTCTGTACTCTGAGCTTTTTTACCTATAAGTGGAATCCTGTTTGATGAGGAAGGCAGAATTTCATTCAGAATAAGTTGTAACACAGTGACAGCAAGCAGCACAGTGACCTTGAAGCTGAGCTTTTCGCCCCCTCTGTCTGAGATCAGGAAGGAGGACAAGTCCAGACACAAGAAGAACAGGACAGGCAACAAGAAATTGACAACGTAGAGGAGGGACCGTCTCTTCATGGAGATCTGTGAAATTATTTTTAATGGTCAGGTGGTTGATCTTCCTACTCCTATACGTTAAAAAGGAAACTGTTTGCTTCACTTAGTGTTGCCTAATAAGAATTCATGATGTCTAAAACGTATTAACAGGAAAGAAGCAGAGGAGAAAACAACAAAATCAGGTGGAGGCAGTGCAGGCAGCACACTGAGGCCACTGTGGCTGCAGGGCATATGACCATGTAGCTGTCATGGCCTCTTTGATGTTCCTACTATGCCTGCGCCAGCCAACTTTGCAATATCACACACCACACTATATCTTTCATACTTCTCTGAATACAGATGTACAGAGGGTAACCATGTCCTAGGAAAAAACTACAGTTGTTCCCATTGCAAAAAAAGCCCATGCAGTTTGCAATAGGAGCAACAGAGGGATGGAGGAAGCTACACTCACATTAGCCTCCTTTACAGCCATCTCAAAAAAAGGGAAATACATGCTCCCCATTCTATTGGTCAACTTCTATTTTTACCGAGGAAACTTAACTCTTTTAACGTGGACTAAACGGTTATGACTATGTTTTATAGATCCTTTATTAAATCAATTGTAACTTTTGTCCTGATTTGCTATTTGTTTGGAAATCTTAAGGTGAGGAGTAGGACATGCTACATAGAGTGGTAAAACACCTGCTCTCAGATAACAGAGGTGTCCCAGCTCAATAGTTTCCACCACTGTGTGTTTGTATGCAGAAATACTTACAGTGTAAACAATTGTGCTTTGTTCAAAACCTAAAGTGTTGACACTTTTGGTGGTGGTGTTCATTCTCATTAACAGCCACTCATACACAGTCGGCAAATCATGAGACCACTCTGACATCGATGGATCGCTGATCTCCTGAACAAGCTGTATTTCCTTGACTGAGGTGGGAGATAAAAAAAATAAATACGGTGAGGTTTCTTATTAGGTCAACAAAGAAGGAATGTATGTGGTGGCATCTGCTGGTGTGTGCTCATGTGGCACTACAGCAAAACATTTTTGGTGAATGTCTAGAAATATTTAAACACAACAGGTTACATGCTCACCGTGGTGTATGGCAGATTTGAAAGATATGTTGCAGCTCTGAATGTCGAAAGGGAATTTGTAAACTTGCATCTTGCATGTGCTGACCAGAACCATATCATTCAGACGTACAACCCAACCGTTCCAAAATATTCTGATATAAGGACTTGGGGGAGCTTTATCCATTTCTGTCCTATATGAGAACAAACATACATTATGTCAAAAGCTTTATGCTTCAAATTAAAGTTCAATCATACCATACAAATAAATCTAAGTAACATACAGTATGATGCAATTAACTATGTCTTAACCTCTTTATTTTTCTCTAATTTACCTTTTTGTTTCTATAAATACACTATCCACACAATGTGACAATGTCATATTTCAGCCTGTTCCAACATTTTATATTTTGTACACACAGTAATAACGTCTCGGGTTACGTATGTAACCCTTGTTCCCCTAGAAGAGGAATGAGACACTGCGTCGGTGACGACACTATGGGAACGCCTCTGGGCGTGGCAGGGCTGAAATCATGAATGAAACTACTCCAATCCTAGCCGTTGCTAGAACAGTAGCGTGTGACGGCGTAACTGGAGGCGTATATAAGCACGCCGGCACACCAGACACATTAGCTCTTTGCTATGAAGCAAGGCACTCCAGGCGGGGCAAGGTGTGGCGTATCGACGCAGTGTCTCGTTCCCCTTCTCGGGGAACAAGGGTTACATACGTAACCCGAGACATTTCCCTCAAAGTGGAATGTCTCGGTTGAAATGCGTCGGTGACGACACTATGGGAATGTGAATACCCACCGAAGCCTCTGCCTGCCCCACAGCATGCAGTAACCAGTAGGCACGACTAAGAGGAGAGTGCACGGGTGCCGGGTGCAGAAGGAAGGTCCAGACTGTAAAACCGGATGAAAGTGTGAGGAGTGGCCCAGCCATCTGCCTCACACAAATCCTGGAGCGAAGCCCCTGCGAGGAGGGCCCTAGAGGCCGCCATGCCTCGAGTAGAGTGCGCCCTTACGGCCATAGGTGAACGTAACCCACGCACCTGATAGGCCAGGGAAATAGTCTGAACAATCCAGTTGCTGATCGTGTGTTTAGAAGCGGGGAGCCCAGCCTTGGGGGACCCGAAACACACCAGCAACTGGTCTGCTTTCCTCCACTGGGAGGACCTCTGAGTGTAAATACTCACTCATCTGCTCTGCGTCTCCCGTCCTCCGCCGTCACATGAGGTGGGGGATGAAACACCTGCAGCACCGTAGACCCTGCCAACCTGGACGGAACCTTAGGGACATAGCCCGAACAGGGGTGCAGGATGGCTCTGACCCTACCCGGGGAAAACTCCAGGCATTGAGGAGAAACCGAAAGTGCCTGGAGAACCCCCACCCTCCTCAGAGAGGTGATAGCGAAGAGAAAGGCAATCTTAAGGGTCAGGCGCCTCAAGGAACTGGACCCCCTCAGGGGCCAGACCCACAGTCTCCACAGGGCGGGGCAAGGGTGAAAGACCTGGCCCTCCGCCTGAGACAGCAGGTACCTCCTCAGAGGGACCTGCCATGGCGGGCCCTCCAGGAGTGATATTATGTCCGAGAACCACACTTGGGCCGGCCAAAACGGGGATACTAGCAGTAGGCTGACACTGTCCTGACGGACCCACTCCAGAACCCCCGGGAGCAGAGCAACTGGGGGAAAAGCATACAGACGGCGCCTCGGCCACGTCTGCACCATGGCATCCAGCCCTAGCGGGGCTGGGGATGAGAGGGAAAACCACAGTGGACAGTGCGTAGTCTCTTGAGACGCAAACAGATCGACGTCTATAGGGCCGAACCTTTCGCACAATAACTTCCCCACCTTGGGGTGGAGTCTCCATTCCCCAGGCCTCAGCCCCTGTCTCGACAGCAGGTCTGCTCCCTGATTCTGGGTCTGGGTCGCTCTGAGAGACAGCAGTCTCTGCTGGGACCACAGGAGGATCTGATGTGCCAGCTTGCATAATGGGCACGAGTGCAGACCCCCCTGGTGATTCAAATAGGCCACCACTGCCGTGTGTCGGTCCTGACAAGGACGTGGCGACCGCGGAGAGCGGGCAGGAACCTCCTCAGAGCTCTGAAAACCACCAACATTTCCAGGCAAATGATGCTCCTGCCAGGAGCCTCTCACCAAGTGGCCGTCCATGGCCGCGCCCCACCCCGTGAGTGAGGCGTCTGTCGAAATAATTGTCCGGCGACATGACGCTCCCAACACGGGACCCTGGGACAGGAACCAAGGTTTCCTCCATACTGACAGGGAACGAAGGCACCTGCTCGTAACCCGTATCAGACGGAACGGATTTCCCCTCGGGGAGAACCCCTTGGATTTTAACCACCACTGCAAGGCTCTCATGTGTAGAAGGCCAGACGGGATTACGCTGGACGCTGCCGCCATGAGACCCAACACCCTCTGAAAGTGTTTCACAGTGATGGTGCGGCCTAGCTTCACTCTGGTCACTGAGGACACAATGGATCTGGATCACTACCCCTAGGAACGTAGTCCATTGGGCGGGCATCAGCACGCTCTTCTTCGCGTAGTCCCAAACGCTGAAGGTGGGCAAGGATGACATCTCGATGCCGAACTGCTAACTCCCGAGACTGAGCCAAAATGAGCCGTCGATGTAGTTCAGTATGCGGACGCCCTGGAGTCTCATCGGGACCAGAGCTGCACCCATGCATTTGGTGAACGTGCGAGAGGAGAGTGCTAGGCCGAATGGAAGAACCCGATACTGGTACGCTGCGCCCCTGAAGGCGAACCACAGGAACTTCCTGTGAGAGGGACGGATGGAGATGTGGAAATATGCGTCTCGCAGATCTATCGTGACAAACCAATCCTCGGATTGGATGTGGCTGACGATGGCGGGGATGGTGAGCATCTTGAACCTGAATCTCCTCACAGATTGGTTCAGGGACCGCAGATCTCCAGACCACCCCGTTGAATCTGGGGGGGCCGACCCGGAACTGCAGCCTGTAGCCATCCACAGGACCCACGAGAAAATAGTGGCCATTTTATGCGTAGGTCCCCGGTGGCACCCTGAAGTGGAGGTCCGCCAGGGAAAAAACGCCGATAACCCGCGGTGTGTGAGCCCGAGCGCCTCCCGACTGCGGCCCTTCGGGGCAGGCAGGACGGCGCGTGCTCGCCTCCCCCATAATGCTGAGCACATCCAGCTCCTCAGAACCGTACAGCCGCAGCCTCTCCGGGCTCACAACTCGAGCGGGAGAAGCCGAAAAACAGGCTCCTGAACGGGAAGAGGGGAGTCGGAGCCAGCAGACGAGGAATGGGAAAAAGCCTTGGCAGTCCCAATGCCCTCGGAGATGTCGCGCTGGGAGCCTCAGCACCCTCAGGGCAGGGCCTCACACTCGAGACTTGCCTGGACATGCGGCATCGCCAGACAGGAAACACACAGGGCATGAGTGTCCCCAGCCGTGATGTAGCGCGGGCATGGAAAAACACACTGCCTGAACTGCTCACTAGCCATCTCCTCTGCTTCTCCTTCCAGGTCTCGTGGTTTTTTTTCCTGAGTAGTCTCGAACATGCCAGAGTGCCTGCTGAATAGAAAAAAGCTAATGTGTCCGGTGTGCCGGTGTGCTTATATACGCCACCAGTTACGCCGTCACACGCTACTGTTCTAGCAACGCCAACAGGATTGGAGTAGTTTCATTCATGATTTCAGCCCTGCCACGCCCAGAGGCGTTCCCATAGTGTCATCAACGACGCAGTTCAAGTTCCCTCGAAGGGGAACTGGGTCTACCAACAGTAGTTCATGAAAGAAGTATAGGGAATAAGGGGGTAACAAATTTGCAGTTAGGAAGGCCATTGAATAAAGTACTTTATAAAAGATTACCCAATACATACTAAATAGAAACCAAAAATGCATTAACGTTACAGGCAAACACTGGGCAGTAACGATGACACACACAAACACAGGCAGGGTGATTAACACAGGTGAGATCACCAAACAATAACCTCAATCTCAACCTTGATCTTTAAAAGAACATGTTTAGGCATTTGCATGGCTAATAATTTTATTTGTATTTCATTATTTTATTGCATTTTATTGCGTCGGCACACTTACCTGTTTTCCCCACTTTTCCTGTCTTGTTATCTGCACTGACCAAAATTATAAACGCAACACTTTTGTTTTTGCCCCCATTCATCATGAGCTCTTCCTCCTCATCAGGGTCTCGACCTGACTGCAACTTCGCACAGCCATTGAAGAGGAGTGGACCAGCATTCCACAGGCCACAATCAACAACCTGATCAACTCTATGCGAAGGAGATGTGTTGCACTGCGTGAGGCAAATGGTGGTCACACCAGATACTGACTGGTTTCCGTCCCCTTCGGACTCCTTCAATACAGCAAAACTGCACATTTTCGAGTGGCCTTTTATTGTGGCCAGCCTAAGGCACACCTGTACCCATGCTGTCTGATCAGCATCTTGATATGCCACAGCTGTGAGCTGGATGGATTATCTAGGAAAAGGGGAAGTGCTCACTAACACAGATTTTGACAGATTTGTGAAAAATTTGATAGAAATAGGCCTTTTGTGTACACAGAGAAATTTTTATATCTTTAAGATTAGCATATGATGAATGGGGGCAAAAACAAAAGTTTTGCGTTTATAATTTTGTTCAGTGTAGTAACAATATTTCATTCTGCTGTAATTTATAGTATTCAGTATTCAGTAAGTATTCAGGAGTTACAAAATATTTGCAGCGTATTTTAAGTCCCCACACAAAGTTGTTACTTTCTTATTCCTGTACCTATGTATTACTCATTCTCAACGTATACAATAATTACACTAATTTGATGTGCGATAGTTTAGTGTTAACATATATTTCAAACCCAAGATGCTATATGTTTAATGGATGCACCATTACATTTCTCCATTAGTGCATATGGCTTAGTTAAATCTTGATTAGTTTTGATTGTTTCAGACTTTCACAAAGCATTTTACATTAAAAATACATATATGTAATACATAATATTTGAAATAATCAACACATTTAAAACCTGTATAAATGTTGTGGCATCCAAATACTTCAGTTTTTGTGTCATTTCTAAACAGTAACTGTTGAGAATAAATATGTGACATGCAAACACAATAAAACGTACATCTCTTCAATAGTTATATCAGGCCTCCACAATCTATCAATAGGAACTGACATACTACTAAGCCCACAAAAGTCCTCTGGTTTCCAGTAAATGTGTTCATTTTGCCACGCCTACACAGGAAAATGAGAGAGGAAGGGGGGTAAGGAAAAAAGAAAGGAGAGAAAGACAAAGAAAAGATGAAAAGAATGGAAATCATTTGAGTTTCCACTTAGCATGAACAGGTGAGAATGATCAAAAAGTGCTGTCCATCTCAGGGACAACTCACCATATAAATCCAAATGTAAGGAACAAAAGTCTGGTCAGTCTCCTTCTATGAGAAAAGAAATGCAATATTTGTGAAAATCTTTCACAATTAACATCGTCATAAGATGACCATAAACACACAGCTACACAATCAAAAAACATTGTGCTATACTGGTTTTAACATATCATACAAGTTGACAAAAATCTGACTTCATATGTAACTTTGAGGAAACAAAGGACAGTTATCTGGATCAGCCAATCAGCTTTACTACAGACAACCCGATGAGACAATAAAGTTGCATTTATTCTTCTGAGTTGTACCTTCGATGGCTACATTTTCATTTTCACAGCAAATAAAATCTACCAACTTGTATGTATGTTGTATCATGAAAGTAGTAGAAATATGAAATTATCTGAAAACGAGATTCTAATTTTTATCTTATAACAAAAGTGAGCCCCTACATCTACAGTAACAATGCTTAAAGACAGCTACATAAGCTTTGTCACAGTACTCAAGTGAGTTTGTATCATTATTTAAGGTGTAATGTTTCGATTTATATGGCTGACAGTTAGTTTGGTTACATATAAAAGCCAAGAAAGTGCAGAAGTTGGGAGCTTTTGTTAGTTTTAGAGTGCTAGCATATGGCTACTATACTATATCCAAAACAAAAACCAGGGCACATGGCCATGATTTTCACAAAATATCATATAATTTAATTTCAAAATTTAATTTCAGAAATAATTATTACCATTAAAAAGAAAAAAAAATGACACAAAATGTAAAGTATAATTCAAAACTTACCACATCTAGGATGCTATGGACCAGCATTTGGAGGTATACATTTGTAGTCGTTGTGTAGTTTATAACAGGGCGGGCCATGGTGTACAGATCATTATTTTTGGTCAGGTTGAGGTAGTTCAAAACATCCTGATAACCACATTTACCCTCAGAGGAATCACTATTTACTGGAAGAATATCAAGATACATTCTGAGTTTATAGTTGAAAGCAAAAAAATAAAGACATTTGACTTCCATGCTCTTATCTTTGCTTTTAAATTAGAACTTCAGAGTTTTATGTTTTTGTTTTTGTCTGTACATCAGATTTACTGTGTGTGTTCATCATTACTTATAATTTAGAGGAAATGACAAACATCTGTTAGTGCAGCAATCTACTGCTTCTGAATGTATTATCAAACCTTGAAAAACACCAACTCACCAATATCTACAGTAATATCCAGTGATTGGTGTCTATCCACTGATAGGCTGTTATGAGATAGGTGTTGGCAGTGGTGCCAACTTTTATGTCATTAGTCCACTTTAATGCATTTTTCAGGAATTTAAGTCTAAATAGGGTTTCCATTTAGGAGCCATCTGCTATACATAAAAATGAATGGTGTTCAAATCAAGGACAGAGGTGCAATTTTCTCCTTTTTTAAACCCAAGCCTGGACTGGAATAAAAAATCAGGCTGGGAATCTTTAACGTCAAACCAAGCCAATTGTCATGCATTCATAACAGAACACACAACATCCAAGATACTTTTGGAGTGTTTGCTTCCTCTACATACTTTCCTCAAAGCTCTGATTGAAGTTCTGTTGATAATCGAGAAGTTGAGGTCGCTCTGTATAATTGGAGGTACTTCCACCTGAAAGAAAAGAGTATATCTTTATTGTCAATATGTTTTCTTTTCACACACATGTCGTGATTTCCTACATAGAACAAAGTGTTGACAACATTTATTAGTTATTTAAAACATAGAATCAACTTGGGAAGGGTAGTTGTGACACGATGTGCTGAGGACAGTCTTACTAATACCACTTTGATTTACCCTGACTCAACTTGATTCAGTTGTAGCAGTTTTGCAAGTGTATTTGAAAAACAAAGAAATATTAATATTTTTAGATATGCAGATAGTTGTGGTTTTAACTGCTTTTGAAATATCCATCTATCCATATCCAAATTATTAGGCTCTACCCTAAAACAATGGAGGTGAATGGGATTTTGATTGTGAAGCTCACCGTACTGTTAAATGGCAATTACAAAATTCAACAGCAACATTTCCAGGAACAGTGTCCCTGTTCCTCTGAATTATCCACATACCACACAATGTGAATAGTTTTTAGGAAGACATTTTGATGGCATTTTTGTTTTATTTGGAATGCTGTGAGTATCACAAACAAAACCCCATTAACTTATATTGTATTAGGGTGGCAAGAAAAAAAATACAAAAAACTAAAAGAAAAATATTCTGGGTTGCTAGATACCAGTTAAGGTTTTTTATAATTGTGTGAACTGATCCATTTGCAATCGACTTTGAAATTCTGATTTACTGTGTGTGTTCTTCATTACATATAATTTAGAAGAAATGACAAACATTAATCTGTGTGGTTAGCTGCTTCTGATATATTATCAAGCCTTGAAAAACACCATCTCACAAATATCTGATTATCCAGTGATTGTGGTCACTGAAAGGCCATTATGAGATGAATGTTGGCAGGCCTGCCGGTTGTCATCAGTCCACTAATGGACAGATAACTAATTATTTATTAAATGTGAGCATTTTTGCACTAATTTACTATCTAAATAGGGTTTCCATTTGGTATCCATCTCCAAATACATGTTGTGTAATTCAAGGACAGGAATGCAATTCTAGTAAACTCAACTGGAATAATACTTTGGGCCGGTAATTTTAACGTCAGGCCATTTACAACAGACAATGTATACTTTGTTGAAATACTTTTTCTGTTTACTGCTTATACAAGTAATATATTTTAGTTTAATTACTACACACAAAAAGCTTCAAAAAGCATCCACAATGGTTAAAAACAGTGACTTCAGGTGTGCGCTGAGACCACACCAAGCTCAGTGGGAGAAAAAAGGTTGTCGGAGTGCATTATGTAGATGCCAGTGGCTGTGTGGATGCCGCATGTGTTTGCTCTAACCGAGCTGTGTTGCTTGTCCCCAGGGAGCTGGGGTATGTAGCGTGTGGTAGTTGATCTGTTAGGGTGATTGATGATTGTTCACTTCTTGGTTGGCATTTATCCTGTGTCTTGAGTTACCTTTAATGACAGTTTTCACCTCCCATTTTAGAGGAGATTGTTTTCAGTTGATTGTAGTGTTCTTAAGTTAACAACAAAATATTTGATTTATTCTTGAACTGTTCTCCGCCCATCCTCTGATTCTTTCCACCCAATTTAGAATTCAATTTATTTGTTGGTCCCACTTTCCTGGATGCCACTGTGATGTAACAAATATTGGGTCTCATCTGGGATCTTTCTTTTAAAATCAGGACGGTTAGGTTTACTTTTTGAGTGTGGATTAAATACATTGTAATCGCTTAAGGTTTTGATATTGCCCAGGGTGTTGCCTTGGCTGGTGTCCTAAAACTTCCTGGTCATATCCAGCTTGACTCAATCAGCCTCTCAGAAAACTATGTTGAAACCATATGAATCTATTTTGCCTAAAACATGTCATTTTGAAAAGCAAATATGGTAAGAACCCAATTTACTAAATAAATATTTTCTCATTTATCTATAGCTATGCAGATAGTTGTGGTTTTAACTGGTTCTGAGAGATGTCTGCATCTACCCTAAAGCAATGGAGATGAATGGGATTTTGTTTGTGAGGCTCTGCCCTGTAAAATGGCATTTAATCAAATCTCAAAAACAAAACAAAACAAAACTCTATTGTGTTGGGGTGGCAACAGACAAAATCATAATTATCTGCATGTCTAGATGTCAGTTAAGGTTTTAATTATATAATATAATATAATTGTGTGAACAGACACATAAATATTAAGTTCCGAAAATCCTAGAATTCAAGTTTGTCAACAGGACACACTGAAGCTAGTTTGTGTCAATTAAAGAAGATAGCAAATTGGATGATCAGCCAACATTTCTGACATTTTTCTTTAAATTAACAAGCAGAAGGAATGATGAGGAATTAAAAGTTTAACCAAACTGCAAAACATTACTCCGTGTACACCTGCATGCATCATACACAATTATCCCAGCTTACCTGTGAGAGGGAGCAAAAAGAGGAAACCTGCAAGCATCATGACTGTCCGAGGTCTGCACATTTAATGAGCATTGCTGTCCTCGTCCACTGCCTTGTACTGGAAGGGGGCTGGGCAAATGTAATGTAATGATGTGATGAATTTCTTTTCTTCTAATGATAGAAACACATCTAATGCAACAAAGCAGTGAAGAAATGCCAACACTCTCAACACTTAGCGGCCTGTGGGCAGATCAATTTTGCTTATTAAACCAAAACCCATTTAATTCTTACTTCTAGTGTTATTGTGGTTTAGTTTCCAAGTAAATTAATTCAATGTAGAAACTCTGAAATGAGTAACAAACTAAAATTTGCATTTATTTACAATTTACTGTTCATAAATGGTTACTGCGCCAAGCTTAATTAATTATAATCAGGCTGCAGTCTCTTCCCTCTGGTGTGCTGAGCAGCTTTAAACACACACGGAGCGAAGTCAACGACAGCAGATCAGAGGTGGCGATTACTCCAGTTGGCAACAACCACTCTCGTTACAGTAAGTACGTGTAATAAAACCTTCACATCATGGTTTTGGGGTTCTTGTTGTTTTTGGATTTTAATGGTGTTTTTGGTAGCTGCATGGGCTCCGTCAGCACAGGAAACAGTATTGATTAATTCACGACTCTCAACTGTGGGTCTGTTTGAGTCGTTCATTTGTCACGTGACAGCTCAGCTACAGGGCTGTGGTAAGCAGGCACCACAGGAAACAGAATTGATTAGTTCACGACTCTCAGCTGTCTGTTTGAGTCGTTCATTTGTCACGTGACAGCTCGGCTACAGGGCTGTGGTAAGCGGGCAGCACAGGAAACAGAAGTGATTAGTTCACGACTCTGAACTGTGGGTCTCTAGGTCTGAGTCGTTCATTTGTCACGTTACAGCTACTGTGGAGCATGAATGAATGACTCGTTCACCGCTCACATGGGTCCTCCTCAGTCTTTCGTTCACTCGGCAGGCTGAGTGACTGCCAGCGCCGGAGAATGAGAGTCAGGTCGGCTGTCAGGTAACAGTCACTGGACTGACATTATATAGCTGTTTTGTTAATTATGTGACATTTAATAAAGCATAACATTATTACAGCGCAGTGATGTTGTGCTAAGTTATAGTTTAAACACAGCCGTACCGTAACTTTAGTCCTGCTAGTGTTTAACATTACAGCTAACACCTGATGAGAGTTGTTCTGGGTCCGCTCCACTTCAGAGCCCTGACAGGGTTCTTCCTGGAGCCGAATTACCTCAGAGGTCGTCTCCTCTCCAAAACAAACAGACCCGGTCATTAAAACATTAAAACACAGCCACATAGCAATGTTAGCATTAGCCCTGTAAACAGTTAACAGCTGATCCAGGTCCGCCAGAGAACGCAACGTAACTTTTCTGTTTTCTTTAACAGAGCCGTGCTGTTGTTTCACAGCTCGTGATGGTGAACAACCTGGCAGTGTTTGGGAGTGATGTGCTCATGTGTGTTTCTCTGTCTGCAGAATCCGGACCTAATGTGTTCAGAGATAATGATAGTAATAATATACGTAAGCTTTTATATGGCTGGTCTGGTTGTATACTTGGGAAAGATTGTGAAAATGGAAGGATTTAGCCGGAAGAGTGGATTGCATATAGACAACATATTTCTGTGGTTTTTACATGGTTTGAATTTGGTTGTGGGCCCAGGGGGGGTTACATAATGATGGCATACAGTAATCAAGAGGTGAATTTGTGTATTATACTTTGTCAAATAAAGCAAGCCAGGCAGCCTTCCGTGTTTGAGAACGGCGCTGTTTTTTAATCGCCCACTAGAGGGCTGCAGCGCCACAATAACCAGCCTAGTTCAAATGAACGAAATGACTCAAAAAAGATAAGTTCATTTTAATGAACAAGATTTGAATGAACGAGTCTGTCAAAAGACTCGAACTTGCACTAATCACTACGCTAGACCCTTTTTACTGTTGCACGTGCCCCTGTATGCAAGTGCTGTGCCTCAGTGAAATTTTTAAAACCCCTTGGCATCGTCTTTGGACTTGTGACTTTGCGGTCAAGTTAGCAACAATATATGCAACGTCCGGTTACAGTTTCAAAATAATACTACTGATTGATGTGAAAAGGCATGTCGTTACAATATGAACGTGGCAAAAACATGTCAATGTTGAAAGTGAGTGTTTACAACATTGATGAGAGGTCAAAGAGGGATATCCTTCTGTGCACAAGAAGAGAAAATAACTAAATGATAAATGAGAGTGACTTTCGAGAACAGCAGTCAGGTAACTTGTGTTCTCTCATCATCTGAAAGTCTGTGAGCAGCATGTGTACTGCACGGAATCTCTCTCTGTCTGTCTTGCTAACTGAGCAGCGCTTCTGTCTGTTTTAGTCTTTTTGCCAGACTGAACAATATTAGAGTGAAATACAACAATTTTACATTTGATAACGCAGACAGACAACAATGTATTTTTTGGTCCATTTTCAATTTAGACCGCTGTGCCAGGTTACAGGGCTCTACGTCTGACCTCGCATGTGTAAGTGACTAAAAATATAAGCCCGAGTCGCTCATTTCCTTGATTATTTATTTAAAACAACACAAACACCAAGGCTTTCAAACTTAACATGAGGTCAAAGACTGTGTGATCCTCTCTCATTAGTGTCCGCCCCTACGTTCAGACCCAAAAACCTCTCCAGACACACCTCTTCCTCCTTCCACAGCTGACTGCAATCTGAGTTAATTAATCAGCAGCTAAATACATAAACAATTAATAATCCAAATGACTATTCTCAAAATAAATCATTTTAAATGCTAAAATAATTGAACACAAGAAATTGGCTTCAACATGTATATAGCACTGAAAAGAAAATGAATGAATATGCACTCATACGCATGTGCGCATGCATGAAATGAAACTTGCGCATTCGGCTG